CCGGGACCATGTAGTTAACGTGTGTGAGGACCAGTTTCTCTAATACTAATACAGGAATACAAATTAAAGAAAGCCTGTCCCAAACTCCAAGCCACAGTTTTCACAGATATTCAGTGTGCACTGGAAACCTGTGGATGGACAGAGAAAGGAGTAGGCAGCCAAGCAAATGGTCCTGAAACCTGCACCGTAGAACCAGTTCAGTGTACTCTGAAACTGAGGACACATATCAGAACTCTGGCAAATGAAGCTGCTGTTTCAAAGCACTGAAAATCTGGGTTTGATAATGTCACTAATGTTAATGATGTGACTGGAGGTTTGTGGTGCAGCAAACCACCAAGCAGGTCAGTTTCCGCACCTCAGCCGCCATCTGGTTCACATACTTCACTTTCACTTCATTAACTTCACTTCAGCCATGACTGATGCTCTTATTTTGAATGCCTGCCCCTCCTCTTCCTAGCCCCCATAAGGTATCAGAGTTTGTCTTATTGTTAACAAAACACGACCGTGAGTTAGTCTGGCTCTCAGCACTTTAACTTCCGGTCCTTTGGTTCCTACTGAAGATGCAAAAACACCTCACAAATACAGTTGCAATTAATAAAAACGCTCACTGACCCCCTCTTGGACCTGGTCTCACAGGTGCTTGGACTTGCACACCTTTTTATATCTGCTCTTGAGTGACAGTCGCTGTGCTCTGAACCCATCTTTGACTCTTCTTGGACTCGGTCTTGAGCTGTACTCAGCTGCTCTTTGGACTCAGTCTTGTTTTAATTTGTCTCCATCTGACCCAGCATGATTTGACTCAGGCTTGACTCGAACTAAACCCGGGACCTGGTTTTGACTCAACCTCGTACCATGCTCCGAGACGTCATGTGTTTTTGTCCTGGATTTCCGCTGTGTTTTTTGACTCGGACTTGACTTGAGTTGACTTGACTTTGGACCTAAACCCTCTTTTAATTTCGATTGTGTATATAAACATAGTTGTTTGGAACATACGTTATGTATGGAAACACTGCTGACCTGTGGTCCGTTTGAAGTTGTCAAACTGATTGATCACAAAAGATTATTGACGTCTCACAGCTGCAACTTCTGTCACGTTTTCAGTTTGTTAAACAAAAAACAAAGAGCGAGGATGTTCAGATTTCGGATGGTTGGTGGCTGCGTTTGGGTGTTTTTCACAGGGCGGCAGAGGTTTATTAGCAGGGTGGAGCTTACTGCAGGCTGCTGGGAGCTGATAACAGACACGGAAAACAAACACTGCAGAGGAAGAATAAGAAGAATGAAGACAGAGTGTTGAAAGTTTGAAGGTGACTTTAGGATGAAGGCGAGGAGGAGAAGGAGGTTTAATTTTTCATTTCCAGGAGATCACAAGATTTAATATGAGAGAGGGAGACAGGGGAGGAAGAGGAGGGGAGATGAGAATCAGTGATGAATGAGTCATGTTGACCAGAAACAGAAACTCAAACACAGACGAGATCTCTGATCCTCAGAGGTTTCTTATCAGCGAGTATTTTGGTGCTGGAAGCGCAGCTCAGTAACGGCACCTTTCACCACTCGGACTGATCCAGGTCAGCTTCATTAAATTGGTCTGGGGTTTATTTCATTTAAACAATCAGACTGTTGATTTTATGTGACTGTTACTGTGCACCAACCCCGTCCAGAGACCAGCAGCACCAGTGAATGTGGTGTCGTCATTGTAATGTGTGTTAGTCCAGACCCCGGTCCAGCTTATTGCTCTGTGCCATAGACCTTCACTGTTGTCCACCAGCTATTAGACCCCCCTGCCAGTGCAGCGGTGTGGCTCACTGGGGGGCAGGTTTCCTCCTCAGGAAACACCAGAGGCCGGCTGTTTCCAACAAAAGGCTCCACAGGCTGTGAACAGCGTCACTGTTCAGAGTCACTAGCCTCTGCTCTGTTCACCTCATCTTTTAAATCTGGTGACCTTCTGTGAATTTAAACACTTCAACACAACAGTTTGTGGTTCCTCATACAGAAGACTGAAATGACAGATCCATATCAACAGAAGCAACCAGATCTCACTTTAACATGTTTTAAGCTCTGTCAAACAAGGCATGCTGGGAGGTCTGCTGATGTGCTACATTTAAGCAGCTGAGTGAACTCAGCAGCTCATTCAACATTTCAAGTAATGTGAAAATATAAAACTTATTTACCTCAACAAACAAACCGATTCCATCCCACTGATGTTTTTCAGTGCAGAAAACCACATTTTAACATATTGAAATGTCTGGTTTTGTCTCATATTCAGTGAAAAACACAAACATGGAGAAAACTATGAAAACCAGTAAATATTCAACATGAGAAGCCGGAACCAATTATTTTAAAAAGATAAACCAATCAGTCAAACTGTCTACAATGAGAACAAAAACCAAAGAACACAGAGATACAGTGTTCAGACAGTAAGACCAACAAGACAAAAATACAGAAGTAAAAGCAGGAAGACCCAGAAAGTGAGCAGCGTGCGGATGAGCCGACCGTGAACATCTGAGGTGAAAAGAGGACGAGAGCCAATGAGTGAAACATTCATTTGCTATTTTTCTGAAAGCCTCGACAAAACCACACACACTTTAATGGATGTTAACACACACAGAAATGTTTGTATTTTGATGGCCAGTGTGGGTCCAGGGTCGAACGGAGGCAAAGACATGATGTTAGAAGTTTTTGAGAGACGCCTGACACTTTACCAGCAAAAGAATGAACTGATTAACTGAAGACATAATTGAGAAACTGGTAACAAAAATAACTATTACTTTTAGGTCCTTTATAATTGTTTTTATTTTGAACTTTTAGTCTTCAGGTTTTCTTGTTCTAATCCTTGTTTTTCACACTAATCCTTTAACATTCTATAAAACGTCTGAAAATATTTCATGTCTGTGAGGAAGGACTAGCTACGTCACAAAAGATCTGACGTGGTCCGTTAACGCCTCCCACATGGTGAAGAAAGCTCAGCAGAGAATCTTCTTCTTGAGGAAGCTTAAAAAAGCTGAAGTTGCTTCTCAGCTCCTAGTGAACCTGTACAGAAGCACAGCAGAGAGTGTTCTCTGCCACTGTGTTACGGTGGGGTACACCAGCTGCACTGCAGACAACCGGAGACACCTGGCCCCCTGTGTTGTATTTTTGTCAAATTTTGTGTAGAATTCTGTTTGTTCATGGTCAAATATGAGTCAGTGTAACATGACATAGATGAGCAGAGGCAGCATATGAAGTGATCGTGTCTTGCAGTGACTTCCTGTTTATGTGCCACTATGCCGAGTCGCCTCCCTGGGCTCTTAGTCCTAAAGCTTGTACAGTGTGATGGACACAGTGATTTATTATTAAACACTCACAGGGAGGCTGCTGCATCATTTATTGGCAGAAAAATGAATAAATAAACGCGAGTTGAAGAAAGAAATGAGTGTCAACAGGGCGTGCAACGATCACACACAGGTCTTTTAAATCTTCTGTTTTCATGTTTCTCAAAGGAGCATTTGTTTTAATGTTCTGATAATCCCAGAGGGGCGCAGTTATCACACTTGGAACAATCAGGCTGACAGACCCGATCTGTTTTCTGATCTAAACACCTATAGCACCCTGATGAACTTTATCAAAGAACCCATGAATCTCCTTAAAGAGCTGTCAAATTACATTGAACACCCTGACCATGTACTTACAGATCCATAAAACCTCTTCGAAGTACCCCAAAATCCTCATCAGAGAACAGCAGAACCTGAGCAAGGATTTTAAACTGTGTAAAGCCTGATCGTTATTAAACCTGTTCTAGAACATGAATAGTCCATGTTAGGTGCAGATGAAAGGCAGTCATACTAAGCTGCAGTTTTCCTGAACACAACAAGGCAGAGGTGCTCCGACTCTGCTAAATGTCTGTAAATAAATCGAGTGAAAGCCAAGGTTTCACAGAGCTCGCAGCAGGCCTCTGAGTGGATGATCTGAATGTCTGAGGCCAGCGTGGGGGGAGTTGAGGGGGATTACGTCAGCCTGGTAGGTGGGTGGGGGTTCACACAGACAGGTATGCAGTGCCGGTCAGCCGCACTACATGTTTACAAGGACATACTAGATACCTTGGGAGGTGCTGAATTCAGTCATGTCAGAGCAGGACTGAGAGGCAGACATGTTGAAACCTGACACGTGTACACAGTTATTTCCTCCTGTTGTCACCTCTGTAATAACAGACCTGACCGCTTAGCTGGCACTGTATGTACAAACATGCATCCTCCTGTAGATTTTGAATATTTATAATGGCTGTTTTTTTTTGTTTTGTTCTTATCTGCCTCATTGTTCGATGCTTCTCTTCCCTCAGTTGGAAGCTTTTTCTTGAAGACATGTTTTTATTTATCCATAAAACCTTAATTGTGGAGCCCTATAACCTTATCATAGACAATTATAACCCACTCATCTATCACCAAAACCTTCTCTCACCTCCCCGAACCTCATCAAAGACCATTAGAACCTCTATACAGTTCCCTAGAACCTTATTGTTACTAAAAGGACCCATCAAACTTTAATAAAAAATGCTAAAATGTAAAATGATAAAAGCTGCTGCAGCACTAAGCTTGTTGCACCTGTGTAATCTGTGTGCTAATTGTTCATAACCTGCTGTTTGTCTCATGTTTGCCACACATACACACACACACACAACCCTGCAGCATTGTGTGTTCACTCAGTAGATGTATGAAATATAGCTAGCATGCTATGATCATTAACAGCTAATGAGTGCAATTCTAACGAAACCTAGCCTGGCTCACTGCCCTAACAGCCTCAGTTTTAACCACGAGCCACTTGATGAGACAGTGCTAACGCCACCTAGCCTGGCATGCTATGCTGACTCCACCATTAACCTCCTACTAAGCTCAGTGTGAGTGTAGCCTAGCAGTTAGCCTAGCTGCTAGCAGGCATTACAGCAGACAGACATTACAGCAGAACATTGAAGAACTGAACATTCATGATCATTGTCGACTGGTCTCCAGGTTTAGAGTGCAATGCCTCACCTGCACACTTGGTCCTGGCTCTGAGTGGTGGTCCAGGGTTTCCTGTGCCTCCCTCCAGGGGCCGGGTGAGCAGCACACTGATCTCATATTCTGTGTCAGGGTCCAGGTGTCCGATTTTGTGGGTGGGTTTATCAACAGGCGTGGTGTCCATCAACATACCCGACATCGTACGGTACTCCACCTTAAACACAAAGTATTATGACTAAAATGGTCACATCACTGAATCATAAAACACTCAAAGATCCTCTGTACTTCATGACAAACCACTAGAAATCCCGATCTGATGAAACTACAAGTACTAGAAACTCCACACCAACTGTGCAGGACTTTCACAGATCCCTACATCTAGATCCTCTACACACATCCCTGAACCTTAATCAAGGAACCACTTTGAGGAACAAGCAAACCTCAATAATCCCCAGAGCACAGCACAAAAAATACCCTAAGAGATCCTAAATAACTACTGTGAGCACTTCAGAGACCCCTATCTGGTGATCTAATTTGTAATGTGTTGTTTACTGATGTGTACATCACAGATAACTACAACGCCCTCACTTTTTGTGGGACCTAATCTGGGACCACGAAGGTCCCATTACCAAGGCCCAGAAACTCATCAAGAACAACTAGAAGTAGATGCCTAGTTCCTCCTCACGGATTGTTATGACTTCTTCAAAAACCCCTGCCTGTTCCTGAGCCACCTTGCTGAAACCTCATCTAGAACCACTGCTGACTGATCCACAAACCCTCATCAGGGACATCACAGACACTCACAGATCTCTACCTAGCTTTATTGAGGACCACTCGGAGCTCCTTCACAGATCTTTCTGGAACGTAAGGATATCTAGAAAACGTTCAGAGATCTCTAGAACTCCCCAGGGAACTAATAGTTTTGCACATCACAGATACTCATAGCTACCAAGAGCAATATTAATGACCACTAGGACCTGCTCAGTCCTCCCTAGAACCAGTAGTGGCCACTCACATATCCCCAGAACCTAGAAAGTCCCCACAGATCAATGTTGGATCAGTAGTCACCTCTCTCTCAATGATTGGTCCATCTCCATTGATGGAGTTGGCATTGAGTTGGATCCACAAGTAGGTGGCACCAACCGCTGTCAGCTGAGGAGGAGCGATGGGTACGGGAGGCTCTGAGGGAAAAACACAACTAGGATGAGGTTTAAATATGAACACACACCCAAACACACTCATGTGAGTTTCGGTCCTAAGGAGGAAGGAAGAAGTTAAAGGGCTAATTAATATTCGTGACCTTCATCACATCACAGCAGACCTGGATTCCATTACCCAGAATCCCCAATGGTGCTGCTCTACTTCCTCCTCACCCACTTCTCCCTTCCCCCACCCTCTTCTCCACACAGACACACACACACACACACACACACACACACACACAAACACGCCTTTGTGTGGCCCACGTTCTGTGACTTCTTGGTGAAGGCGATCACTTATACTATAGCTACAATGATGCCAAACACAAATCTATCATGAGGTGGAAATAGAGAATCAAAATGTCACTTCAGAATTCAGAAAACCTGGAATAAAAAAAATCTTTTTCTTCTACACGTGTGAGGACCGGAGCCTGTTGCCAAGCAGATTTGGTGAACTGGACCTTCTGTCACAAAGCACCAAAACAATGCATGTTATATCACCAGATTTTAGCAGATCTTTCATAACTGTCCCATCTTACTTTCCTGGTTAACCCAAACCACAGCATTACAGAGATGGAAGCATGTGGTTTTTAATTTTGCCAATGTAAAGTGTATTTAACGAAGCATAGAGTCCCTGGGGCTTTGGTTCAGACTATTTATATGTAAGGGGTTGGTTGCACAAGTATATAAAGACAAACCCACACACACATATCTAGATTTTACCACATTCCAACAAGAAGGTGTGAGCTCCGGCTTATAGTGTTGAGTGTTGTACCTCTATCCAG